TCCTCAGCTCGCCACTTTTTGGTCCAGAAGCCTGGGTCAGGGTGGAGGGGTATTGATTTTCCCCCAACCTGAGGAGTGCCACAGTGCTGGGGCTGCTCCCATCAGCCTTCAGCAAGATGGAGCCACATTGGGATTTTGCAAATCGGCCTTTTTTTGGCCAAAACCAGCCCAGCCCACTTAGTTAAGTTCCTATTGAGACATGCACTAAATTTGGCCAGCCTCAAAAGATGGAGCCAGGTTCCCATGTAGCTTCTCCAGTGTCTCGCAGGGACCAAGCAGCACCAGCACGGGTGTGTGAGCCCCCAGCCCCATCTCTGTGCCACCCCTGGGAATCTGCTGATCATCATCAGACGTGATCAAAGCAGCAACTCAATTAGCTTTGATTGGATTGAAAGGCGAGGGTTTCGAGGACACAGGCACGTAGACCTGAGCAGGACACTGCTCCCCAGGACAGCAGGCTGAGCTCCATGGCGTGGTCACCTACAGGTGATGGAAATGGGTGAACGCCTGCCTTTGGGGCCAGGCATCGCTGGCAGCTCACGCACCCCCCTTCTGCAGGGTCCCAGGTAGGGTAATGTGAGCCCAGCCTTCCCTGAGATGCTTTTAATTCTTTCTCATCTTCTGAAATCAAATCAAAATCCGAAGGAGAAACTTTGTCATCCGAGCAACGGTAAGGGAAAAAAAAAAAAAAAAAATGCCTGGAGATGAAAGAGAATTGTAGATGGGTGTTTCATCTCCTGCTCTTGTAACGAACGTGAAAACAAAAAAGAAACAAACAAACCAAAAATCCCAGACACTGTTAATGAGCTTTGCATTTCAATGTGGCACCCATGTCGCCGCCGCTCCGCCAGGCTCCCACGGACCCGCTCGCATCGGGCACGGGCAGCAGGGCAGAGCAAGTTATATCAGGTTAAATATCACCAGCACTTACTAAACCAAACATGTGGCTTGAGAAGTCAAGAAAAAGTTTGTTAAATATTTTAGTACATCTGGTCTCCTCTTCCCCGCCCGTATACGGACTTATAAGATGCTTTGCATATTTATTTTAGCGTGCACTAGATTTATTTAAAAATAGCATCACCAGCACTGGAAACAGCCCACTTGCTTTTCATCTAGATCTTTGCATTGAATCAATGAATCCAAAATTAAACAAGGTTAGGTGAACCAAATCTATACAAGGACCTATTTGCTGATCAATACGGGAATGGATGCCTGGGACCTCTTTTCTGCATGAAATATGAGGACGCGTGAGAGAGAGATTGCTTTTGTTATTATATTAAAAAATTGGATTTAATCTCCCCACATAAAAAAATTATTTGTCAGAGAGATGCTGTCCTAAATAATTGATGCTGGTTGCATAGTACCCAGAAGAGAGAAGACTCCCTTCTTCCATTCCTAATGAGAGGGAACAAGACCTCAGATATTTTTCATCGGTGCACGGAGCTGAAACTCCACCTGGCTTCGGGAGTTTGGCTCCCCCCAGCACAGCAAGAAACGTGCAGCACATGAGGGAAAAGGAGCTTCAGACACATCTGGAGGCCAAATTCAGACCTGTAAGGGTCACCTGGCTTTGGCCTTGAGGTTCAAGGGGTGATGGTGGTGGCCAGGGAGCCAGAGAGGGAAGGAGGGTCTCCTGGAGAAGCCACCTCGATGCACCCACAACGGTCTGGGAAAAGATGATCCGCCTTTCAGCCCATCGTGGGGACAGCATTTGGGGTTTGCTTTGGGAACAGCAATGCACTCAGCCAGGTGCCTTTCTCCCAAGTGTGCCACCAGAATTGATCCCTCAAGCGCTGAACCTGCTCTGCCCTGAATACATCTGCATATCAGACGCTTCCATGAATGAAAAATGCATGCGGCGGTAAATTGGAGGTGAAATAATACATCTGTTGTCAGCACTTTTTTTTTTTTTCCACGGATTTCATTAAAAAAGACGTATCGCCTGATGAAGTTAATGCCACCGCTCACTAATTGTCCCCGAGGTGTCCCAGTTGCTCCGATGATGGATGGCTGCAGCAGCACCAGCCCTGGGCAGGAGGGGAGCAGGGAAGTCACCTCCCGAGGCTGTGCCCCCCTTCTGAGGGCTGGGGACGGTGGGTGGCAGGGCTGTTCCAGCCCCCTGCGAGGTGCCAGGGCTGGATTGGGATCCTGCAGTGCTGCAGCTGGCTTCCTCTGAATGAGCAAGTGGGAGCATCAATGAAAGGAGGAACGAGAAAGCTGACCCCGTCCAGACACATCACAGAGCTCCGGTGATATTCCGAGCTCAGGGGACACTCCCAGCCCCAGTTTCCATTTTCATCTTCATCCACCAGCATCCTTCAGCCCTCCTCCAGGCCAGGAGCTCTGCAGACCCGCAGTGACAGTTTTGGGGGGCAGGTGCCTGGGGTGATTTCAGCTCCTGCTGGCAAAACGAGGGCAATCCTCACGGCCATCTCCACTCAGCACCACCTCCACAGGGCGTCTCATCTCTCCTCGGGGGTCCTGCACCCACCTGGAGCCTGCATCCCTTGTGGGGATGGAGGAGCCAAGTGGGACAGTGATGTTCCCTGCCTCCCCGCAGGGTCCCCGTGCTGTCCCCTGTCCTGTCCCCGCAGGGCCACCAGCCGGGTGAGCCGCTCACGGCGCACACGAGCACGCAGCAAAGAGCCAACAGCTGCTCCCCGCTGGCCCAGATTGGGATTTTAATTAAGGACAAGATTTGGGGGAATAAAGGGGAAGATCATTCCGAAAGCTTTAATTAAAGGAACGCAGGGCGAGGCAGGAGGATGGGAAAGGGCGCATCCTGCTGCCAGCTGGGCTCGGGGAGCACAGACACTCGCTAAGATGCTCGGTGCCAAGGGGAGCACTGGACACTGCCCCTTGCCTGTCCCCAAATTGGGTCCGGGCTCCTCCGGTGCACGCAGAGAAGGCTCGGTGGGCTCCAGGCATGGTGGGGTGGTGCCATCTGAATAAAAAGAGCTCCTATTACTGCCTTTTTTAAGCCATCTTCCTTTTTCCTGGCACGTTTTCCATCGCACAGTCGCAGTGTGGGGTCCCCCCGGCTCATTCATCAGCTGCTCGTCACTGAGGCCGTGTGGGATGCTCTGCAGGGCGTTTGCAGAGGGTCAGCATGACCCAGGGAACTCCAAGAGATCGCCTCGCTCCTCCACACACTGCACGCAATGCACGTTTTGGGGCGGCTTCAGACCCAAGCTAGAGCTTTTTGCCTCAAAACCCTGCACCGTAGGCGAGCATTTCTGAAATCCTGGCTTCCAGAAGGAGCACGCTGCTCTGGAAGTGACCCCAGGGTCCCTGAGCTGATATCGAGGTAACCGCTTCGGTTCATCGACGTTCCCATCTTCCTCACCCCAAGCAGCTCCAAGATGCAAATCAAGTGCAAAAGCCACCCCGGCTCGCCCAGCTCCTCCGCAGCCCTCTTCCCACGTGCCTGCAGCGTCTGGAAATCAGCCGCCTGCTCCAGCACCCTCGGTATTTTGGGAAAGGTTAACGAAGCCTGCGATGGCCCAGGGCCACCACGCGTGGGGCTGGGGAGCCTCCTGGCAAAGCTGCAGCAGCCCCAGGGCTCCCACGCGGGAGGTGACCCCCGTGGGGACCCCAGCGCCTCCCCGACCTGTGATATTTTCAGGCTTTGCACCGTGAAGGTTTCCTTCACTCGCCCCCGTGCTTCCCCGCCGGTGTTGCCACCTCTGAAAAAAGCAGCAGGGATGTGAAGGGAAAGGAGGGCTGCGCCCGCTGGGCAAGCCGGGGGCTTTTACCCAACCTCTTCTGCTCGTTTGTTTTGGGGTCCTGTGTAAGGTAGCACGGGGTCACCCTGTTTTTCCAGCACCCCACCCGTGGCCCCATTGCTGGATTTGCAAACCGGGCTGCTAGGATGGGCAGAAAGGGCTCAGAGATTGCCCAAGGCAGTGGTGAAAACAGAGCCAAACTTGGAAACTCACCCCTAGGGATGGCCAGTTATCAGGAAGGGCACCAAAGCACCGGGATGCCCATGGTTAAACCAGAGCCTGGGCTCTCCTCACCCCAAAACACAGCCTCTGATGGGCTGCCCCAGTCACTCCAGGTGCCCCTAAGATGATTTTCAGGCCCCCCGGCAGCCTGACTGGGCCTGGAAAGGCCACTCCATACAGTGGAGGTCTCGTTGGGCCACCCGAAGCAAAAAGAAACCCTCCCTAAATCCAGCCTCAGCCGCCTTCGGGTAAAAAAGAAGAAAATTTAAGCAAAATTAAAAAACCCGCAGCCCCAGAAAGCTGCCCACATCATCACACCCCCTGCTAATTGCTATCAGCCGGCCTCCCCCACAAACACTCTTGAGGAATGGTGTGAGCTCCAGCTCCCGGGAGCCCCACCAGCTCCCAGTATGACCAGTGAGGGTGCCCCCAGCGCACTGGGGGAGCCCATTTGGGGACGCCGTGCTAAGAGAGCTCCAAGTGATGGATTTTCTGCTTCTGCTGAAGTTCTCTCCTCGGAGGCACTGATTCATTTTTAATAAGTCTCGCTGTAGTTATTAAGTAATTAATTGAAACAAGAGCCCTCGAGCTTGGCCCCACAGCAGGCAGAGCCCCCCGAGCCCCCTCCCCGTGCCGCAATTTGGGGTCACTGCACCTCGGGCACCCCCCTCCCAATGCATCCCCGTGTCCCCGTTGCTCCTGGCCTCATCCTGCCCGGCCCCATACCGGGTGGGGGACAGCTCCTAGGGCAGATATTTTGGGATGAAGCCCCCCTTTTCCCCCTCTTTTCCCCATCCCATTGCGCAGCGGCCACGCGAGGCGCAGCCCCACGGGAGCCCACGGGCGGCCGCTGGCCGCTGCCTCCCCCTCGCGGCGGCCCGGGGACGGTGCCCCCGGTCCTGGTGCCTGCTCCAGCCCTAAAAAGGACCAGGGGAAAAAAAAAAAAACACTGCCACCACCCCCCTCTGCTGTCCTGCGCTGCGCCCACCCATCCCAAACGGATGGAGCGATGAGGATGCTCCAAGGATTAATAAAAAAAAAGGCACAAGGAGGTGGTTTGAGGGGTGATTTTATTGAAAAGGATGGGGTTGGATGGGTACAGACCGTTCTTAGACATATAGGGCTGGGGGGGCTTTCGCTGTGGTTAAAAACCTCTCCCACCTTGAAGCCAAGGTGGTGGCTCCCGGCCCCAGCCGAGGGACACGGAGCTGCTGCGTTCGTCTCCTCCGCAGCTCCCAGCTTCATCAGCAGGGTCCCAAGCCCACCCTCCAGGCATGGCCCAGTATCCGTAAGGGCAGATGTTCCCCTTCCCCAAAACACAGGAGTCAGGAGCGTGTCCGAGAGGAGAAAGGCAGCCAAAAATAAAAACATGCAAAAAAAAAAAAAAAAATAGTCGCCATTCCCCCAAGCACCAAAAAAGGGTGAGGTAAGGAAAGGGATGGAAACAAGGAGAAAGGGGAAAACAGAAGCTCAACATCCAAACAAAAACAATCCAAAGTAAACATCTAAAAAAAAAAAATTACAATTGTACAAATTTGTACAGAAGCTGCAAAGCTGTCCTACCAAGCCAGCATCGGGGCGCTCAGCGAGTGCCAGGGTGGTTTGCAGAGTGGGACCGAGGGGGGGGGCGTGGAGAACATCAATCAGCGTATATTATACAAAAAGGTGGGGTGGGGGTCAGGGTCAGCCCAAAGCTGAACAGGGTTTGTCCATCTCAATATCCCTGATGGTTTTTTTCAGGGCTGATCCCTCTCCCTGGGTGGACAAGACACTGGGGGAGAAGCTTTTCAGCAGGTGGAAGACCCCAAAAAGAAGGGAAATGCACCCTAAAATCCAGGCCTCCAGGGCAGGGATTTTAGGAAAAACGTTTTTTAAAAGAGTCCGCTTAAAAAATAGATGCATTTCTTTAAAAAAAAAAAAAAAAAATCTTAGGCCGGGGTCTCTTCTAGAAGTCTTCCCCACCACCCCAAATTTAGCCAGAAAATCGCTAGCCATTTCACCAAAACTGCTAGCCACACAGACATTCACACATTCGTCACTGATTTTTAAAAATATATAATATATAGAGCACGCGCACATACACCCACACAAATATATATTAGAAAAGGAAAAAAATCCCTCTGAAAACTCAATCTATCAAAAAAAAAAAAAAAATCCACAGCCGGTGCGTTTGTCCTGTGACCACGTACAGTAGAAGACAGAAATCCCTTTTGCTCCCGTAGCTCCTCGCAGGCTGCTGAGGCTGGGGGAGCAGGGAAACACATCAGGTTTTCACAGTGGATTTGCTAGCGGAGAAGAAACCGCTCCTCCCTCCTCCCCCACAGAAGGGCTTTTTTTTTTTAATTTATAGCAAGTTAGGTTAAAACTAGGAAACACGTTACGAAGTCCATCATCTATAGACAGAAAATGTACAACTGGCAGCAGCCCCCGTGCAAGTCGTTGGGTTTCGGGTTTTGGCTGACATCCCAGTGGGCAGCCACGGGGCTCGAAGGCAGCTCGGGATGCATGGGTGGCAGCAGGGCCTCCGAAACGAGGGGTGTCACAGTGCGAGGTCTTACACGAGCCCGGGCTGGGAAGGGAGATGGAGCAGCATCCTCTCCGGCCTGAGGAGCTGGGGAAGGCAGAGGCAGTGGCTGCGGGTGGTGTTGGATGGTTTCTGTACCCCACATCCTCCAAAAATGAGGCTGGAGGTGGCCACCAGGGTCCCACTCGTCCACCCCATCCCCTGGGGACGCAGAGCGCGGCGTGGCTCATCCAAAAAATGTTTCCCCCTCCACCTTCAAGGGGCCGCTGGATGGAGGCGGTGAGGGGGTGGGAAGGGGGTGCCAGGTCTGGTGCTGCACTGAAGGGTCGAACCAGGCATTAAAACGGCTTCTTGTGGGAACAGCGGTGTACCCAGGGAGCTGTGGAGCCTCCTAAAAAGCTGCCCAGGAGCCTTGGGGCAGAGAGGCAGGCACAGAAGGGACACAGTTTGGGGACGGGGCTTGGGGCAGGGCAGACGAGGAGTGCGAAAGCACAGCAGAATGTTTTCTCCCTGCCCTCCCCAGTCAGCAAAAGGGAAGAAAAAGGTAAAAATTCTGTGCCTGTTGTGCCAGGAGTGATGACAGCTGGTGCCTGGCCCCGCTCAGGTACCATGGGCACCATCCCCTTGTGGTGGGGGACGTGCCTGGCACCCCAAGGATGCTCCCCAGCCTTCGGTTGTGGTGGCTTAGTTGGGAAGGTGTCGGCTTCAGAAGGCTCCTCCTGGGGGATTTCAGTTACGGGGCAAAGAGAAAAGAGACTGCAAGGGCGGCCAGGCCCGGAGACGCCCGTGGGTGGGGGAAATGTGATCTGTGCAAACCACCACTGACTCGAGTCCTCGTCGGCTGTGCTGCAGGGATGCCGGGTGGAGGGGACTGCAGAAGCCGTGAGCTTTGAGTTAGGAGTCTTCCCCGAGGATCTCTGTCACGAAGGAGGCCATGTCAGTCTCTTTGGTGTCGTGCAAGGTAAAGAAGGGGTGTTCCTGCCGACGAGAACCGAGACAACGTCAGTCACATCCCATGATGGACCAGCCCAAAAGCAGCCCCCAGGGGATGTCACACAAATGGCCAGGGGGACACCAGCGTCCTCCCCAGGCTCCCGTGGGCACCATCCCTCAGCACAAAGCTTAACGCTTCCAGGTTTGGCATTTCTGGGTTTAACCCCACCCAGGCAAGCAATTTTTGAGGTTGTTTGCCTAAAGCCACCGAGAGCAGATAGGAGAGAGGGAGAAAGCACTTCAAAACTGACCTTAACACCCCTGAATTCAGCACAGCCTTCCACTTCAGCCATGCTACACCCACCCCACCATGTGCCTGAAAATCACCCCCACCCACCCCCTGTTGTTCCATTTTGCTAGGGCCCTTTATCCCAAAATGTTTCAGAAGTGAGACCAAGGCCAGCAGAAACAGCTCCGCACTTACCATAAGTTCTAAATAGTTCATTCGCTCAGCAGGGTTCTTCCTTAAGCTGGAAAGAAAAAAAATAAAAAACACAAGAGAAAGGCTGTAGGATCTTTTTTCTCTCTTTGCTCGCTGGAGCCCTGGCACCTCTCCGAGGGGCTCAGAGCACACCAGGAGCAGGGGACACCCCGAGGGGAGCAGCTCTCCAGCTGCAGTGCCCGCAAAACCACGGGTCAGCTCTCACCCGGAGGCACCCAGACAGTGCCTGGGGGTTTGTTCTCGTTTCATTGCCGCTTCGCCAGAAACCACCACGATTTCAGCAGCGCCAATGGTAAAAGGGGAAGAGAAACCTCTGCACCTTCCAGCAGCCGGGGTGAGTCAGGACGAGAGCAAAACCCGCTGGGGCTGAGCTTCCTGCCGTGGCCGAATGCCAGCTTGGTGCAGGGAGGGAGAACCGGGCTCCAAAGCTGGACAAACCCAGCCCCACGCCTCGCTCCAGCCCCTGCAGACCCTTTCGGGCAGGTCAGGGGAAGCCACAAACCCTGCTGGAGACTCACCACTGCGCCGTGAAATCCACAAACTCCTTGGAGAAGCGGTCGGCAGGCAGCTGGGGCGACGGCTCCTCCACCACTTGCTTGAGCTGCTGGAAGGGGGTGCCCCAGGACTCGTAGGGGAAGCGGAGAATGGCCAGCTCGATCTGGGGACAGGGACAGGACGACGTGAGACATCGGGGTCACCTCCACCCCACGCAGCCCGCCGCCTCAGAGGCTGCAGCGGGCTCAGATTCAGAATGAAAACCCTCTTTCCTTACCAACAGTTCTCAATTTGGGTCATGCTACCTTTTTTTTTTTTCCTCCTTTTTAAATACAAAAACCCAGAGGCCAAAAATACTTCCTTTTGAGGCCCGCTCAGCAAATTAATGCATTTACAGGAAGCAGACAAAAGATATGTAAAATGGGATTAGTTTAAAAGATAGCAGCAGCGCGCACACCATTTCTGCACTGGCTTCTCACCAGAAACTGGCCTCTGGGCTTCAGGCTGGTGCTGCATGAGCACAAAAAATATCCACGAACCCAAAAAAAAAGTGCTAGGACATCATTTAGGAAGACTGCTGCCAAACCACTTCAGCTATTGGGTCCTTGGTGCAAGTCAGCCCTGCTCCATCACCCACTCCAGCAGGAAAAAAGCCCTTCACAGCTCCTGGGCATCTCCTGCCAAGGGTCAGCTCCTGTCTGGAGATGGACAGCAAAGCCTGGCAGGGCAGGACGGGATGGGAGGGATGAGAAATGTGCAGGGATGTGGGACAGAGCCAGGGGCCCCCATCTGGGGAACTCAGCTGCTGGAGAGCTGAATGAAGCCAGCAGCCCGGAAAGGCCTGGATTAGCCCCGCACCTCAACGGCCCTAAATTTGGCCGGTCTGAAATCAATCACACCCCTCCAGAAATAAAATAACAGGAAGCCAGCCCAGGAGGAAGACATTAAAGGGAATCAGGTCAGGGCTCCTTTCAGCTGCAGGCTGGCAGGCTTTCAGCAAGGTCCCCTCTCCCATCCAGCACTGGAAAGGTTCAGAGATGTCGTCATTGACACAATCTCCCATCCCACAGCTTCCTGCATCTCGGAGGAAAGCCGGAGCTGATTACATTCCCAGCCTGCTTCACAGCTGGCCAGCCAGCCCAGCTCTGCATGGCACGGGGGTACCAAGAAGAAGGGGCTCGGGTTTGGCACCCCGGACAAGACCAGCCAGGGAAGAGAGAATATTTGTCAAAATATCTGTGCAGCACACCCAAATGCCTGGATGCAGCGCCCAAAACAGAGGTCGCAGCTAAGAGGGTGCAAGAAAAATTCATGAAAATAATCTAGCCCCAGAGAGAGAATCTCCTGGAAAGCAAGAGAAGCGTTCTCGGGCAGCATCCCCTTAGAGCCAACAGCTGGGATTTCCTTCGCCTTCCAGTGCCAGACGATTTCAGCTGTTTTGGAGGTAGATCCACCATCCTGTGCAGCTGCGATTTTGGAACTCAAAGCATTTCCCCTTTCTGTGGGCTGCTGCAAGCTACCCCGGAGGCGGGACTGCTGCAGGCCATGCACATCACCCCTTGGGGGGGCAGGCAAATTCATCGTGATCCTCCTACCAGGCACGGCTAATACAGGAGGGGTGTGCTTGCAGGGAGGCTGCGACCCAGCCACAGAGAACCCTGCTCCTTGTAACCAGCTCTGCCAAGCACCTCTCCAGCCAGCGTGTGGGGAACTGCAAAGCAAAGCCTTGCAGGTGGCTTTAAAAGCCAGGCTTGGGGATGCCCACGAAAGCACAGTGGCCCTGAGTGCACAGGGAACCACAACCCCTCTGTGCCCTGGTTATCTGCTCGTGCCCTGAGCTGTTACACTCAGAATTCAGCCCCATTTAGCAGGGGTGAAAGCCTCAGACCCCACAGCCTGCAGCAGGGTGGGAGCCCCCCAGCGCAGACCCCATCCCACACCCTGCATCGCAGGGCGCTGGCCTCAGCCCGCTGCCTTACCATGGTGATCCCCAGACTCCAGACATCCGACTTCACAGTTGTAGCCCTTCTGGTTCAGCTCAGGATTTATTCTTTCTGGCTGTAAGAGCAAAATGGAAGATATTACGACTCTGTCTCATTTTCCCAGTGCAAACCACACGCAGCAGAGCTCTGGCTCCAAAACCCAGGCTGGGTGGATTCCCCTGGGTCACGTCCCCATGAAGGCAGTGCTTGAGGTTAAATCTATGAGCACTGATGAAAGCCACGTCTTGTTCCACACAAACCCCACAAATGCTCCCCTCCAGCTCCTGAGCGTGACTCCTACCCCAGGAGCACAAGCTACCCACACACACCACGGATGGCAGTGGGAAATTCACACTGACTTGAGAGCAAGGAATGAAATGACCCTGCCAAGAAAAGCCTCAGCATTTTCTAACCAAGAAGAGCAGCCCGTCCAACCACCACAACCAGCACCAGCCAGGCTTTCACCCTTCTGGGAAGGGAAGGTGGCAAAGGGAGAGCCTGCTGCAGGATTAACACAAACAGGAGGGTTTACAGGGAGGGTAATCCCTTCCTTAGAGGATCCTGCTGCATCAGGAAGCCCAGAGCACTCCGTAATGGTTTCTATCTCAGGACAGAGGGGAACACTGGACTGATTTTTAAGAGCAGCCTCTTTGAGCCGAGGCTGGATGGCTCCCCACTTACAGCCATGTACGGTTTGCAGCCAGCATCCATGGTCTTTGCGACTGAATCCACCAAGTAGCCGCTGATCCCGAAAGTCACACATCTTCACGTGTCCCTCCTTGTTGATGAGCACGTTGGAAGGTTTCACGTCTAAAAGAGAGAGAACACGAGAGAGCAGATGGGGCCTCTGCAGAGGTAGCGCAGAGCCTGGGACAACACAGGGAGAAAGGGGACCAGGGAACAGAGACAAAACCCCACAGTGCTTTTATCAAAGTAAAGGTTGTTCCCAGGCAGGACTATAACCCTGCCCTCCAGGCAGAGCAGGCCTGGAGATCAAAAAATCCTTATGCAGATGAAATAAAATGCTGAGGAGCTAATACCCATGCTCCTTAGGGGGCATTTATGTACACCAGCACTAGCCTTGAAAGTTCAACCCCTATCAAGTTCTCAGGACAGCTTGTCTCATGCTCATCATGAGCTGTCCACAAGGAGCTACATGAAGATGAAGATCAGGGCCTGGGTGTTATGATTGTGTTACGATTCCCATCCATGATTTGCAAGGTCTCCTTCAGCTCTCACCTTGCCAGAACTACTCAGCCAGGAAGGGTATGGGATTTTGTCCCCAAGAGCTGCCTGCAACGCATCTCTGTGCTCAGGAGAGGGCCAGAGATGTCCACACAAGTACAGGCAGTGAGGAAGTCAGTCATTATATTCAACCTTTCATCCAGAAAGGATGAAGAGAACAACATCATGCAAGGAGATGCATGAAAAACACATCTCAGGAACAGGCCTTGGGCATCCAGGTCTGCCCACCACGTTCCCAAGTGCCACCAAACACCCCTGCAGGGGACCCTGAGGCACAATCCATGTAATTTATCTCAGGGTTAGCACTCCAACCACACCACACGAATCCCAGCCAGCACCTACCTCTATGGATTACGGACAGCTTACTGTGCAGATGCTCCAGAGCCCGTACGATCTGGTGACAAACAGAGCAGGAGAGAACTGTTAGACACATGCAGCACCAGCATTTCACTGTGAACACACCAACCATTTCTAAACGCTGTGTGTCTGAGCAGAGACCTCCAACAGGCTGCATTCAACCCCCGTGAGTGCAAAACCCAGCACAAAGTTACACGTGAGGGGTGCCATGCATCACTGCAAGGCCTGGGGGGAGCACAAAACCACGTATGAACCCAAAAGGCACTCACAGACACGGCCATTTTCCCCAAAATGTCTTCAGGGATGGTTTTCTTCTTCTCTAGTACTTTCTTGTAGAATTTATCTAGGGAGGTGTCCATGAGCTCCATGCAGATCCACACGTCGCCCTGCAGATAAAAGAGAAAGCAGCTGAGTAGGAATTCCCTAGAAAACCCCAGGAGCTGAAGGGAGTGGTGGGGACAGCCAAACAGACCCTGCCCCTTCCACCTGGGGCAAACCGAGCTCCCCAGGCACCAGCACGCTGCCTCCACACCAGGCACGATGGGCACAGACGTTCAGGTACCACCAAAACTGCCTGCAACAGCCTCCCTAGGAGGGTCTCCCTGAAATCCAGCCCAGCCAAGGACAACGTGGGGACAAAAGGGACCTGCTGCACGCTGCCTGGAAGAGGCAGGAGTTCAATTTTGCTGCATCTCAAAGAGACCAGCTTGGCTAAAGAAAGCCAAGGTGGCTTGAGACAGTTTTGTGCCTTTGGAGATCTCACCCAGCCCCAAGGTGCTGCGCAGCCCAGCAGCTCCCCACCAGCCCAGTACCTCTCGGAAGAGGGCTCCGTAGAAGGTGACGGTGTAGAAGCAGTCGACCGTCCTCATGGAGATATCCAAGTCCATCAACAGCCTCTTTTGCTCCTGCGTGTTCACAGTCGCTCGAATCCTCTGAGACAAACATATAACAAAGAGAAAAAGAGAGGTTTAATGAAGGTGGAGTTTTGCAGCCAGTAGCACCCTCAGGAGATGCCCAGATTCCCTCTCCCAGGCAGCTCCTTAAGGGATGACACCACCTAAGCCCAGGGCTCCACACTTGGATTTCAAAACCTGCTTTGATGGAGCCACACCAAGCTGCACAGGGACACCGGAGGCTGCCAAAATCAGCATCCCTCTAACCTCCCACACCTCTCTGCCCCCAGCAGAGCCTCTCTGCTGCCCTGGAGCTGCACATCCCAACCTCCAGCCCTCTGGCAGGCAGCTGGGCTCACCTTCACGGCCATGATGGTGCCGCTCTGCGCGTGCCGGACTTTCTCCACCACTCCGTAAGCCCCACGGCCCAGCTCCGAAATCGTCACCAGGTCATCAGCTTCCACCTCGAAGTTCTACAGGAAGAGAGGTTAAAAAAAAAAAAGAAATCAGACATGGGCGTGCTTATCACCAAAGGCAAAATTCCAAGCTTGCATCTCTCCCATGCAGAGCGCTCCCAAATGATGGTGCCTACAGGATTCCAGCAGCTCTAGGCACCAGGCTCGGAGGAGATGGATGCATTTTTCACTCTGTTGAGCCCCAAACTCACCAGGGCTCACTGAATTCTCCCTCTGAAGCTAGAGATCAGGAGTGTCATCCTTCCAGCCAGGGCACACTATTTCTGTGGTGAACAACCCGCAGGGTTTCAGCAGCTCCCCTGCCAGCACGGGCAGCTATTGGGATTCAGGATTGGCACCAGATCCCGGTGCCCAGCGGGGCATCACTGCCTGCCCCTGTGTGACCACAAGCACACCCACGTGTCCAACAGCACCCTGCTTGTGCAAAGCTGCTCTTAGATGGGGTGGCACACACCACAACCCAATTCCCAGCATTGGGCAGCTCAGGTTGTGCCTGCTTTCAGCACCTCGCCCCATCATCATAGCCAGCAAGGCACAGCATGAGCTAGCACCAAGAAAAGAGCTCAGGCAGTGCCAATGACCTGAACTTCATTTCCAGCTGGAAAAAGACAAACCCCCAGTGTTCAGGCAGCAGGGAGCGAGTGAGGCTGTGCGCAACCCCCAGACAAGTTTCCCTAACCACGCGTTACCCTGTAATTGCCTGCGCCGCTGGGCAGGGCATAAACTGCTCGAGTGAGCCACGGGCTATTTTGGGAGGCTGCATTCATCGCTCCTAATAAGTTACAGACCTCCTTTCAACCAGGAGGAACTTCAGCCAGCCTGCGAGTCTTCCTCCGGTCCCGGGGAAGAAAAATAATACCAGGATGCCCAAGTGACCCAGCAGCCACAAAGGGTGGGAAAAGCGCACGCCACATCGGAAACACCGCCTGCGAGCTACACCCCGGGCAGAAAGGAGGCAGAAAACGCTGCTGGGGGGCCAAAATGGGAGCTGGGGCTGCCGGGCTGGTGGCTAGCCAGCTCCCCCGCCACGCTGGCCACGGGACGGCCGGCAGCAAGCAGCATTTATGCGAGCCAGATGTGGCTGGCAGGCGGCCGAGGCAGGGAGCAGGAGAGGTCTGGGGTTGAGCTCAGCGGTGAGATATGCGCTGCCTGGCACGGGAAGGTGCCAGCTCTGTCCCGGGCAGGACGGTGGGTACAGGGATGTGGGGACCCTACAATCTCCCCCCAGTATCCCGCTGGCCTGGGCAGAGGCATGGTACAGGCTCACTGCTCCTGCAGCAGCCTCCAGGAAGGATCTCGTGGTGCTTTTCAGGACACGCGTTGTGCAGTTGTTCCAGGTTATTGTTGTGGTTTTTTTTTTTCCTGGCATTTACCCACAGAAGCTGGCAGTTCCCAACACACTCCAGGAACCAGGACGGCCCTGCCCAGGGGCAGAGGCGATGCTCCAACACCATCAGCATCCCCCTTACAGCATCCCTCACCCCCTGCCCTGCAGAGACGCAGGACACCACCTGCACAGATCAGATGGACCTGAGCTCATCCTCCACCCCATCACCCAAACCTTCCTCCATCCTACATCGTGTCACTCCAGTGCCCAGATCAGACCCCTCCTGCAAATACCAGAGCCACCAGAGCAGGCAGAGCACAGCTGCTGAATCCCTTGGAGAAAGGCACGGCAGGGACAGCAGCCAGCACGGAGAGCTGTCCCCACGCTGCAGCACGCTCCCAGCGCACACACTGTGCCCAGGCTGCCACACGGAGCCTCTCTCCCCGAGCTATTAATACACAACAGCTAGAAAACAACAAGGGCTGTGGGGCTGTGCCCTGGATCTAACCCAAGCTGCCTCCTCAATCCCTTTCCCCTCTGTCCCAGCTCTCCCCAAACCCTAAAGCCTTGCACTGATGGTGCCCACGGAGCGAGCTGCTCAGCCTGGGAGGGAAGCAGCAAGGCGCAGGGCTGCTCAAGGCACCACCCCGAAATTTTTAGCTCACTCACAAACAGCCTTCTGCAGCCCCAGGAGAGCCCGTAACAAGAGGATGAAATAAAAGAGCAGCAGTGGCTGTTTCTAGCAGCTCTTTCTTCTTTTTTTTCTTTTTTTTTTTTTTTTTTTTTTTTTTTAAATCAGGTCTCTCAAATTGCAAGAAGCAAAAAGAAACCGCGCTAGCACGTACCTTATCTCCGATGGTGATGAACGTCCTGGAGTCCAGGTTCCTCGGGGGCCTGCGAGGAAAAAGAGAGAGAAAGTCAGAGGAAAGCACAGCTCCGTGCTCCCCATTCTGCAGGGCCAGGTTTTGTGTTCCTTCCAGCGCTTTCATCCCCTGCTTTCCACCATGCCTTGTTGTTACAGGCTCAGATCAGCCCCCTCCAAACGCTCACAAACGCTTTCATCGTGCAAACACCACCCACAAAGCATTTGCTGAACGCAGCCAGAGAGAACCCCGGGCAGCCAGCGAGGTGAGGCATGCATCGAACCAGCAGGCTCCGAAACCATCCCCGCTCGGGAGGCGAGCCCACGGAACCCCGACCGATCCCACGAGCTGTTCCCGTGGCACAGCGGCTCGGCTGTCATGTTTTGACAGGCAGGTGTTGTAACAGGACAGCCACGTCGCCCGAAACACACGCCTAGGGAACAACAGGTAATTCCTCAGCAGTGAGTCATTTGTGTACACTCCACGGCCTGTTCCAGGCAGCCTGGCACGCGGAGCAGCCAGCATTTCACAGGGTCACGCTTTGCACAACAGCACGCTGGCAAAAATAATAAAAAAAAAAAAGTCTTCCCTTACGGCTTTTTCCCCCCCATCGTTGCCTGCTTCCCACTACTGGTAGCAGGGTGCTTTTGGAGCAGACTTTAGCCTTTTGTCCCCCGTGCTTCGCTTCTGTGCTTTCCCCAGCTGTGAGCTTGTCGGATTGGAAATTGAGCAATTTGTTTTAGCCTCCTGTTTAGCTCCCGTCAGAGCCATGCAGCGAGCTCCAGCTTCAAGGAAGTGCTCGGGCTCATGAAAAAAGCCTTGCACTGAGCAAATATTTGCATTGCACCTCGAGAAGTGCAGAGAAAAGGGATCGCAGGCACCTGGCAGCAGCCTCTACCGGAGTGCTCCAGGCGTGCAAGCACCCTGCAGGCTCCAGGCGGACACCTTCGCCAGGGGAAATTCAGAGAGATGAAGCCACAGGGGAAGGAGGTGGCTGCTGCGTGCATGCCAGGCTGCACGGCACTAACGGGGGACTTCCCCAGCTCCCAGATCTGCCTTATCTGGGCTTTTAGGGAGTGAAATTTCCCCCTCTGAGGATTTCACTGCTCTCCCAGAGCTGCCGAGGGTCTCTGGAAAGGGCTCCTGGTACAAGCAGGGCTGAGCGGCGGAGGCGCAGCCCGTGGTGTTTGGGAAGAGCATCACAGAGCAGGAATTTCAGCTGCCTGCTTTTCGTCAAACCCCACTTACGTTGTGTTGGCAACGGGCTGCTTGATGGGGACACATGTTATCCTCAGCTCCCGCTTCTTCTTGCTTTTCACTGGAAGAGAAGACGCACACGTGAGCAACTGGCATTTTTCTTTCTCTGCCTTCAAGCATCCTCCTACCCACAGGCCCCCGGCCCGGGGGTGCACAGAAACCCTCTTCCTGGCCTCACACCTTGCACTGCTCCTCAGCCACCCCAAAAGCGCCTGTTAACCCCCTGTGGCCATTAAGGGTTCCTCCTCTTTGGGGATTTTAATTGCAGGTGTTTAGGGGATGGGCTGAAGCTGCTGTTCCTGCTGGGCACTCACCTGGTTTGTGCGGCTCCAAGGATCCCTTGGAATCTGGAAGAGAGCAGAGAGACACGGGGTCAGTTTTGGTGCTCCAGAGCAGCAGGCACAAAGCACGCACCCCTCACGGCCCCGGGTACCATCCGAAAAACACGCCAGGAGGACAGAGGGGTGCTGGCACCCGGCCCCATCCCGGCTTGACCAGCCACAAGAGGTCCCCACGCCACCAGCCGTGCACAGGGCCCTGACCCGAGCCCTGCTGCCCCAGCTCCTGTGCTCCCCGCCAGGCCAGTTTGGGATGCACAAACCCATTTCTCAGGGTGGTCACAGCCCCACAGAGCCTGCTGCATATGGGATGGGATGGGACAGACCCATCACGGCCGCAGAAGCAGGCAGGGAAGCGGCCAGGCCTTCTCCGCTCCACACCAACAGCAGGTTGGAGGCCACCAGACCACAAGCAAGCCGAGCAGTAACTAACCCCCACCCCAAATGGGGACACCCCCACGTGTCACCAAGGGAAAATAGCACAAAACCAGGCAGGAGCTGGCTGCCTTTGTGCTGCCAGACACAAATCAAGGCCTGGTCTGCATGGGCTGAGAGCTGGGAGAAGGCCAGGCCTGTCAGGAGCAGCCCTCAGGATGCTCTCCTGCCCAGCTCCAAACAGCACAAGGAGATGGGCCTGAAATGGGAATGAGCCCAAAATAGGGATGGCCAGAGCCCTGCTTTGCTGCCCTGATCCCCTGCAGGGACAAGGGGCCTGGGGAGCTGCATGAGAAACAGCCCCACGAGGTGGGCTCCGAGCACGGGGCGAGCTTGTGCCCGGCTCCTTGTGGCCTCGTGCAGGCTCCCTGCCATGAGGAACGGCTCCTGGGACAAAGTCCAGCGCTTCCAACGCTGCTGGGAAAGGGAGGGGAGAGGCGAGGAGCTGGGAGCTGGGCAGGAAGGAGCGGAGATGCTCCTGGATGCATCCTGCCCTGCTGGGGGGGCACCACGGGTGGGCAGCTTCAGCCCGGCTGTTCCGCACCAAATCCATCCTGCTGGGCTGGAAATGGGTCCCGGAAAGCTGACCCTATCCTGGCAGTTGTGGGGTTTGATCACTGGTTCACAAACCTGTGAGGTTTCCTTTCCCAACCCCACACCCGGCCGGGCTGGCAGAGGGAGCTATAAATATCCCCGTGCACCCACTGAGGACACTGCAAAAATACCTGGTTGAGCAACGCCGGGAGCAAACACAGACCGGAGCCAAAGGAAAGCTGACATCCCCGTGTTCAGGCACCGCCTTCCCTCCCTGCAGCTAGCCCCAGAGCCAAAACCCGGGGGCTGCAGCATCCTCCTGCAGCCAGGGGGTGGGAGAGCCCAGGGGGCACACGCTCCCATCCCACCCAGCGTGCTGCATTTAGCACGTGGCTCAGGGATGCAGGCAGCAATCCAGGGATGCTGAGCTGCTGCACACCCACCCGGCCAACCCTGCACCTCCTGCTCAGCCAAAAAAAAAAAGAAAAAAACAGGACAGGGCGAACCAAACGCCTGCAATCCCATGTCAGCCCCCCCAGCCACCTTCTGCCTGGCGGAGGGTGCAACCACCAGCCAGAGCTTCGCACGAAGCCCTGAAACAACCCCCATACACACACACACACACATCCCATCCCGGCTGGTATTTTGCTTAATCTGTTTGCTCTCCTTCTCCCCAATTGCCATAGTAACCCCAGCAGGAGCACAATGCTCCCTCTGTGCTGCCCGCTCCCCCGAGCGGCGCTGACTCACGCGGGGTCACCAACGCAGCGGCCCCGAGGCTGCGGTGTCAGCCCTGCCGGAGCCCCAGGAGCTGGCAGGAGGCGTCTTGGGGTCGGGAATCGATGCAGAGCCTCGTGCCCGTAGCGGGATTTGAGAGCACGGGTGGAAGGGTCAGCACGGGATGGGGAGATCCCCGCTGCAAAGTCCCCGTGCGCCGTGCTGGAAAATCACATCGCGTCTCCATGCATCGATTGTACCCCGTGAGACAGAATTAGGTTTGCCTCTTCCTGCTCTCCCCGTGTTTGCCACGGGGCCAAACTCCCCGGCATCCTGCAAACCTCCTCCAAAAAGCGCTGGCAGCATTTCTCCTGCTGCTCGCAGCCACAGAAGCAGCACGGGTCCGGCCGTGCAGGGGTGGAGCGGGCAGGAGCCACTTCCTCTTGAGCACAGCCCAGAAATAATTAAATTTCTTTTACAAATGAATAAAATAAATAATAAGAAAGAGGCAAACGGTGCTGTCCTGAAGCTCTGCACACCCACAGCCTGCTCAGGGCAGGCAGATGGTGGCCGTGGGGGACCAGAGCCCAGCACCGCTGTCACCAGCATGCTGCCCAGTGTCACCCCCAAAGCTGGTGGCAGCCCCAGAGCAGGACACCCGGTGCCAGAGGAACAAACAGGCGGTGGGACGAGCACGGCACGACCTTGCAATTCAATCCCTTCTGCCCTGAGCAGGTCCCGGGGCAGCATCTGCTGTCAGCCCCCGCAGGCGGCTGCTCTCAGCTCCCTGGCACCTGCCAGGCTCTCAGCAGCTCGCCCCCAAATTTGGGACCCCACGGGAGAGCTGCTGGGGACAGGGGGACGTTTTCTGTCACCTGCAAGTCCTGGGGATGCGCCAGCTTGTACCACGCACGGGGCTCTTGCAAGAGTCACCCACTGCTCATGGTGACCTCAGATCGCTTCCACAGCAGCCAAATGGGGACGGGGCAACCTGGGGGCACGGCCCCATTAATCCCAGCCCCGTCACCCCCAGCCCAAGCCGAAAGCATGTCCAAAAAGCCGAAAGCATGGGTCACACAGCACCGTGCATGCACCCGGGCTGGGGAAAATGAGCTGACCGAAGTTCCTAGCGCAGCCGAGCTCGTAGCCCACGTGATGCCGCAGGCACGTAACTGCATCCTTTATGCTAAGAAAGGCACCATTTCCTCCTAAAGAAAGAAAAAAAAAGGCTTTTTTTCCCCCTCCCCTCATGCCACAGCCCGCACCAGCTAAGACCGGACACATTCGTTTCCTGGAACTGCTCAATTCAACGATGAAATCCTCCTCCTCCTCCCCAACCTCAGCCCCGTCCCGCTGCACCTCTCCCCGGGAGGTTTGGCCTTCCCACTCCGCCGGCGTGGGTGGAGAGAAGCGAACAGGACAACGTAAAGAACTGCAAATAAAGCTATTTGCCTGAGCTGACCTTTGAAATCAAACCTCTCCGAGCCTCCCCTGCGCTCCAGGTGAAGTCCTGGAACATGGACCTGCAGGGTGCAGAGGCTGCTGCAGGGGTTGCACGGTGGGGTTAGTGCTGGGGAAAGAGTTTGGGGGCCCCCAAATTCCCCTCGACCTGCAAATAGGAGTCAAACACTGCTGGGGAAGACGTTTTGGGGAATCGAGGGGCACCCTCGACCTGCAGACAGGAGCCAAACGCTGCAGAAAAGGCGCAGGGCTGCAGGGTGGGTCCCAGCCTGGCTGCAAAGGAAGGGCCAAAAGAAAAAAAGAAAAAAAAAAAAAAAAGGATCCCCAAAAGGAAATAAAAAATAGAGGCAGGGTGCAACAAAGCAGAGAGGGGAATTTGGCCGCTTGGGTCACGGGAGTGGAAAAAGCTCCCTGTGTAAGCGGAAAAGCGGCGCTCAACCTGCCGAGAGCCATCACTCATCAGCCTGCAGAGGGGCTGCTGCAAGCCACCGCCGCCCTGCGCCCGGCACTTCTGCAAAAAGAGAAAGAGAAAAACCCGAGCGGGCTGGACGAGAAGCCCCCGCCGGCTGCAACGGGTGTGCAAGGGCTGCTGGAAAGCCCTGGGAACACCACCAGAAGAGGGACAGGCTCCTTCCCGGAGCTCTGCTGGATTTCTGCTAAGATGCCAGCGCTCCAACCCCGTGCAAAACATGCAAGTTTCCAGAGCTTTAAAAATAGATCCCGAGCTGCACATGCAGAACCCCCCCTTCCCGAGCGAGCAGAGGGGAGAAAAACTCCGTGGAGGGACCCCAAAAAAGTTCCACCGTCCCCCTTTTTGGCACCGCAAGCAGCCGTTTGGTCGCCCCCCCCTCCGGCACGTGCTTTGGAAATTGCAACACCTACCTTGCCTCTTGTCCATGGCTTCCCAGAAATGAAGAACAGAAACGGGCACGCCTGGCGGAAGGGAGGGATGGGGGAGCCGGAGGAGGGAGGGAAAAAAAACAGCCCGTGGGATCCGCTGCAGGGCCCTTTTGGCGAGCACCACGGCTTACCCTCGGTGGGGCTGCATGCTCGGAAGGTGCCAGCAGCCCCCTTTTGGGGTCCCCGCTGCGTGCCGGGGGTGCGCGAGCCAGCGAGCGGCTGGGGAAGGCTGGGGGGGACGGCGCCAGCAGCACCGCGTCCCCGCATGGGCAGCTGCTGAGGTTGGCCGGTCTCAGCTCGGGTTACACTTGAAAGCTCAACAGTTGTAGAAAAAAAAAAAAAAAATGCAGCGGGCGAAATAACCGCTGACGTCAACAGGAAGCTGGGGGGGAGCCAGCGCCGGGAGCCATCGAGGCGCAGGGCTCCCGCGGCGCATCCCCCGGGGGACGCCTTCGCCGCTGGAAGGTTCAACCCTCGGAGCACAGCTCCCCTCTGCCATCTCGATCCCACTCCCCAGGATAAAAACCCAACGGTGGGAGGCTCCCAAAGGTGCTGCCGTGTGCTGGGTGGGTTCCCTGGGGGAGCAGCAGCGCTCCTGCCATCCTGAGCCCCCCACCGGTGCAGAGCTTTGCACGGTGATGGCTGCAGCTCCATGCAGGAGCACAAAACACCAGGGTACAGGGGATGTAAGCACTCGGGGGGGCTCAAACACACGGCCCCGAGCACCCACGCTCAGCCCTTTGGCACCCAGGGAGCGCCAGGCAGCATGAGGTCGGATTTCTTGGCGCTGCAGGTGCCCGGCTAATTGCTTTGCCACTGACAACCATTCCCACAACAAATAGTGCGAAGCTTGTTCCATCACAATGCCGGCTCCCAGCTCGGCAGCTATTCCAGGGTGACAACTGAGACGGCATCTCCGCTGGCCAAGTCCAAGCTGCCGCCCGGATTCTGCTGGGAAATAGCAAAGGAGAAGGACGGAGGCGTGGAAAAAATCACCCCCGGCTCCGCCACCACGTGCGAGAATCGTGGCCGAGCCTCGCTGCTCTCCCCTCTTCTGCCCGGGTGGCGTTTGGAGAAGCCAGCGCCGACGTCCCTGTCCAAATCCGAACAGGTTGCAGCTTTGTTTTCAGCTTCCCTGGCAGCCTGGAGGGCAGATGCTGCAGCAGCTCCTTCACCTTCCCCTAATTATAGCAAACATGCCTCCGCCGCGCGGGCTGCGCCGCCCCGCGCACGTTTGCAGGCAGAAAAGTCAGAGGTCGAGGTAAAGGCGCATACCGACCTAATGAGCGCCTCCGATTTTAAATAGTGTTTATACAAGCCCCAGAAGGACTGCGGAAGATATTTTCCTCGGCAGCATTTCCACTCCCCGGGTATGGTTTCGAGCCGAGCTCATCGGCGCAGAAGGGATGCTGGCACAAGAGCTGCCCCCCAGCCCTACAGCAGCGTCCCCGTCCCATACAGGGGATGCTCCAAGGATCCCTACAACCCCTCGTGGAGCCCATGCTGCCTCGGCACATCCCAAATGCTAATAAATGCCATTTTTTTTTTGAGCCAGACCCATCTTTTTGCAGGTCCTGGGGCCACCAGCCCCACTGCTGCTGGGTTCTGAGCAGCCGAACCTCGTGCGCCGGGCAGCTGCCGCCGCTCCCTGCCAGGCTTCAATGAGGGGAAGAGCACGCCCTGAAAAACAGCAATGAGCTCAAGCAGCAGCCTGCCAGCACCAGGCCCTCTCCCCACCCTTCCCCTGCCCACCCGCGGCCTCTCCGAGGGCTGGATGAGGCTGGGGGCACCAGGGGGGGATGCACCGGGCTGGCAGCGGGGACCCAGGACCCTGCAAAACCCCATGGGCAGGACCACAGCCCCAATCCCAACCTGGAAGCTCTGTGACAGCTCTGCTTTTAAGCAAAACCTTGGAATAAAATCTAATAGGAAAGGGATCAGGGGCATCTTTCTGCTCCCATCGCTCCAGCTGGGAAATGATGCCAAGAGCAATGCAAGGAGAGCACTGCGAGCGCCCAGTACCCCAAAACAGGGAAGGATTTGGGGACGGGGACACCAGCTGAAGCCACCGCGGCGGTGACATCCCAGCTGCCAGCCCTGAGCTGCCAGGCACACCCCAGCTCCGTGTAGCAGCCAGATAACAGCCCGGCCAGCCCGCTTGCTCTGCTGCAGCTTCGGGAGGATGTCACCGCCCAGTTATGCTCCAGTTGGATTTTTAAGGTTACCTGCATTACCGTAACGGATGGGGGAAAGCAAAAAAACAGCCACATTTCACTCTGTGCTTTGTTCCCTGATGTTCTGCAACAGGGGGGCTCTGAGGACAGGCTCCACACTGGGAAACCTACAGGAGCAGAGCCCAGGCTGCCCTCGGGGAGCGTCGGAGCAGCGGCCAGCTGGCACGGCACCGTGGCGTTATCGGACACGCTGCACCATGCCAAAAACTGCACAGCTGTGCAGCAGGACCTGGGCAAAAAACCTCTGCCCACCTCTTCGGAGCAGGCACGGGGCCGGGCAGAGCATCCTGCAGGGCTGCAGGCTCACATCCATCGCTCAGGATGGATTTTTTTGCCCAAAAAAAAGCAGTGGCAGAGGCTACACCTGCTCGGAGCTCGCCGTGCAGGCAACCACGAGCCACCTCCTGGAGCAGCACAGTGCTGGCGTGCTGCCACGAGACAAAGGGCTGGGAGCAACCCCAACCCCAGAGACTTCATGGGCAAGAGGAGAGGAAAAAGGAGATGGTGCTTCAAGAAAAGCCAGGAGGGAGAGGCGAAACTGCTGCCACCAGCTCTGCTCCTGCTCTGGTTCCTGAGCCCGTCCTACCCGGCTCGGTGCAATTTCAAGTACCTCCAGTTGGCCACAAAACCCTGTAAAGTTGGTAAAAGGGCAAAGTATTGCCTCTTTCTGCTTTTAATGCAGAGTCTCAATGACTAAAAATAAATAAATAGAAATAAAAATTACTTCTTTAGCTTCCTGCCATCCTCCCCCCAATTTATTTCGGGTGGGGAAAGAGGAACTTCATCCCGGCAAATGACACGGGTACCTGGGCTGAAAGTGGAATTTGTGGGGGGAAAAAGTAATAATTAATAATAATTAGGAAGTGCTCAATGTCTGCAGCTGCCTGCTCCGGGAGGGGGACAGAAGGAAAGGGAGCAGCGGGAGCGATGCCACCCGCGGGGACTGCGGTTCACAGCTCCCCGCTGAGTCAGGCCCAGGTGCACCACGAGGGCTGTGAGCTGGCTGCAGGTGCTGCAAACTCAGCTCGGGGTCCGTGAGTCAGAACAGGTCTGTCTGTCCGTCTATCACCACCAGCAGCTCGATGGAGGCAGGGCTGGGAGCACCACAACACCCAGATTCGGGTCTCCGGTGCCCAAAACTGCGCTCACGTCTGAAGACGCACAGGGGATTTCTGCCTCGCCACCCTCACCTACTGCCTTTAACCACGTTTCTCCCCCCGATTGCATCCATGCACGTGCTTTTCCGATCTGAGATGGAGGAAAGGAGCAAATTGGGGTGCTGAAAAGAGGCAAAACCCACCCCGTGATGGGGGAACCTCGGTCTTCTGTGAGGCGAGAGGGTGGAAACCACTGCAGACAGCAGGACCCGCAGCCACCACCTCGCAGCCTCTGCCCCAGCCCTACGGACACCACCGGGGACAGACTGACGTCTGCATCCCAACCCATGTCCAGCTGCTGCCTGCAGCCAGCCCCAGCCGCTCAGCAGCTCAGGAAGTTAAAATTTTATATTAAAAAAAAAGCGCAGCACACTTGCTAAGCCCCACATTTTTGCAGAAGTCGCCCGCAACCATTTCTCCTTCGCTCCTCCAAACTCCCCCACTGCAAAGCATTGTCCCCGCGGGCTCTCGGCAGCTCCACACCACAAAAAACCCTTCCACGTGCCCTGCACCCACAGGGCATCTCTGTCTGGTGCCCAGCTCGGGCAGCGTTTCCCCACCGCAGCCCCACGTGGCAGCCCCGGCGCAGGAAGGGCACAGCCTCGCTCGCCTGCTTCCGTTTAGCTGGGGTTTATTTAGGTTTTTTTTTTGCTGTGCCCTCCTCGCCCCTTGCTCAGGAATCACTGCGAGGTTTTTGAGGCTGGGTGGAAATGAGCCCAGCAGGTTTTTGCTCTCGGAGCTGGTTTGAGACGTCCCGGGAAGGCAGCAGGCTCCGCAGAGGCTGTCCCGACACATCCGGCTCACGTCCCGGGGCAGGAGCAGGCAGTGACTCAGTGCCGCCCAGCCTGCAGCTCAAAGCTTTTCCTGGGGCACGCTGGAGGTTTCCAAGAATCATTTCCATTTACAAAACAACGAGAAAAAGAAAAAAGAAAAATCCCCTTTTAGCCCCAAAAGGGCAAGGCTCAAATCAGTGCTTTTTTTTGGGGGGAAAAGGTGGCGTGCTGCAGGGCAGAGCATGAAATGGAGCAGAAAGGAGCTGGAAGGAGAGGTGCAAGAGGTGAAACCTGCTCGAGATAAGGGGAACGCACGCGCTTGGTGCCGGCCCCGTGGCTGCCGCTCGCGGCTTCCCCCGGCGAGCTGTGCCTGTAAAACCCCCACGGGGAAACCCACGATTACCGAAGGCGAAATTCTTTGGGGATCCAGAAATGAAGGGCGAAGCGTTGCAGCAGCCTGGAATGTACACGGAGAGATCTCACGGACGGGAGAGGTGCTGGAGGAAAAGCTGAGTGGCCCCCTGGTTCCTCAGCAAAGCTCATGCGAGGCTGATAAAGGACTTGGATTAAAATGCACCCGCAATTTCCAGAGGTGCCTCCTCCAGACACCGCTTTGCTCGTTGCCCAGGCATCCTCCACCAAGCCAGGCAGTGGCAGGGTGTATTAATACCTGCAAAAAGCTGCTGGTGGGCAAGAAATCAGCCTCTGCAGAGCCCAGGAGGACAACCCCAGCCGTCCACCAGCTCCTGCTGCTCACCATCAGCCCCCTGGTGCGCAGAGCTAAAGGTGCTCGAAGCCGAGCAACCGCAGGGATCGACCAAAAACGCAGACTAGAACAGGTTGCAGAGGCTTTTCTGGGTTAAAACACGGGGTTTTACAGCCAGGTGTGGAGCGTGGCTGGGTCTGCCACCTCGCTGCTCCTTTACCAGGTGCTCGGGAGGAGGCAGAGAGCAGCCCTGGCACCGGGTCCATTCATTTTCACCCCAAGCTCAATTTGGCAGCATTTCAGGAGAGAAACCAAGCCGTCCGCGGCGGCAGGGGATTTTTAACTCTGCAGAGCAGCTTTCTTAAAAAGCCTCGCGGCCGAACACATCCGGCTCTTGCAGAAAGAGCCACGTCACTTTTGGGGACGAGCTGCACCGTGGGCAGGGGACAGCCCTTACCCGTCCGC